CCACCCTTCCTATGTACAAAGACTTTGTTTCCATTTTTCCTTTCCTCGTATTTTTTCCTTTCCCCTACCCCCGACTCCCCTTCCCCTTTGGGCCTTCTCTTCCTGTTTCACATTATCTATTATACATTTTGGTCCTCATTTACACTTCTAGTTTCTCACACCAGAAAACTGTGTGGTATTTATACATGTGCGTCCTGTTTGTTTCACTTAAGACTGTGGCCTCAATGTGCATCCATTTCTCTATAAATATCTCTAGTTTCCCATTCTTTATGGCTGCATAGTACTCCTTTTCATTAAAAAAAAACCACATCCTCTTTATCCAGACACCAGTTGATGGGCATTTTGTCTGTTTCCCAGATTTAGCTATTACAAACTGTGCTGCTGTAAACATAGGTGAGCATATATCACTGTGGTAGGATGCTTTTAATTCTTTCGGGAAGATCCCCAGCAGGGGAACAGCTGGGTCAAATGGGACCTCTAGTCCTAGTTTTCTGAGGAATCTCCACACTGATTTCCACAGAGGCTGCCCCAGTCCACACCCCCGCCAACAGTGGAGCAGGGTTCCTTTCCCCACAGCCCCGCCATTTGATATTGGCTGATTTCTTGATAGCAGCCACTCTTTCTGGGGTGAAGTAGAATCTCAGTGTTGTTCTCATCCGCACCTCTTGAATGTTCAGTGATGTTGAACATTTTTTGGTATGTTTATTTGCTGTTTCTACTTCATTGTCTGAGAAGCACCTGTTCATTTCAGGTGTACATTTTTGCATTGGGTATTTAAATTTGGGAGGTCCGATTTTTTTTTAAGTTCTTTATATATTCTAGATTGTAGACCTTTGTCTGAGGAACAGCTGCAAAATTTTTTTTTCTCCAGGGCTGGGGATTTAGCTCAGTGGTTCTGCTGCCTGCCTTGCAAGTACAAGGCCCTGAGTTTGATTCCCTAGTATCAAAAACATTCTTTTGCTGTCTTTCCCAGACTGTGGGTTGTCTCTTCACTCTGTTTGTGGTTTCTCTTGCTGTGCAGAAGCTTTTACTCCCATATTCATTTGTGGAAGCAAGCATCACATTGATTCCAAAGTAGAGAAAGACCCAACCGAAAAAGAGAACTGTGGGCCAATGTCGCTAATGAACACAGATGCAAAAATCCTCAATAAGATACTGGCAAGCAGAATAGAGAGGGTTGTCAAGAGAATCATACACCCTGACCAAGTGGGATTCATCCCAGGGAGGCAGGGATGGTTCGATACATGCAGATCAATAAATGTAATGCACTATATTAATAGAGCCAAGGACAAAAGCCACATGATCATCTCAATAGATGCAGAAAAGGTGTTCAACAAAACCCAACTCCCATTCATTATAAAAACCCTACAGAAAATTCAAATAGGCGGTTTTTAATCTCTACCTGATAAAAGCCATATATGAAAAACCAACAGCCAGCATCACACTAAATGGTCAAAAACTGAGATCCTTCATACTAAAAATCAGGAACAAGACAATGATGTCCACTGTCGCGACTCCTGTTCAATATAGTTCTGGAAACATTAACCACCACAATTAGATAAGAGAAAGAAATAAAAGGAATAAAGATAGAAAATGAAGAGGTTAAATTGTCATTATTTGCAGAGGACATGATACTCTATAGAGAAGACCCCAAGAATCCACCAAAAGTCTTCTAGACTTAATAACCAAATACTGTAGAGTAGCTGGATACAAGGTCAACACACAAAAATCAATAGCCTTCTTGCACACAAACAAGAGACTCACTGAGAAAGGAACTGGAGAAACAACTCCTTTCACAATAGCACCCCAAAAAATGAAATACCTAGGAATCAATCTAATGAAAGAAAGGACCTCTACTCTGCTTTTTGAGACAAGGTCTTGGTGCGTAGTACAGGCTGGCCTTGATCTTCCTGCCTCAGCCTCCCAAGTGCTGGGATCATGGATGTGTACCACCGCACCTGGCCTAAAAATTATTTTAATGACCAAGCAGGGCAGGCTTATATTCTCATAGGGAAAAATTTGGAAATACTATAAAGCTAAACTTTCCTGGCACGTATTTCAACCCCACTGTTAATAATAGGGCACATACTCCTTTCTCTCTCTCCGCTATGTAATATTTCTGAGACACATAATGTAAATGAGCTCATTTATATAATATTGTGCCGCATTGGCTTGCTGTACTGAACCATGTGTTTAGGGATCTTTCCTGGAAGGTTTCCAGAATGGTGTCGAGCCACTGCCTAATATTGCATTGCATATGTCCAGCTAGTCCTAATTTTTCATGACCACAGAGATGAGATGCTGGTATGAGAATCCTTTGGACCTGCTTTGAGGGCTTCCTCCAGTGTCTCTTTAGGATAGATGTCAAGAAGTGGATTGGGAATCGGTGTGTATTTTAAATTTTAACAAATCATTCCAAATCACTGGATAGTGTGCGTGCGTGCGTGTGTGTGTGTGTGTGTGTGTGTGTGTGTGTACTGGGGGTTGAACCCAGGACCTTTGCACTGTTACATCCCAACCACCCCCTTTTTAAAATTATTGCATTTGTGGCACACAATGAATACATCATCATGAGGAGTTGGTACTTAACTGCATCTTAATCCGCTCTACCTCTTTTTAATTTTTAATTTATTTATTTATTTCGGTACCAGGGATCGAACTCGGGCCCTTGCGCTTGCGAAGCAGTCACCAGAACCACTGAGCTAAATCCCCGACCCCTTAATATTTCTGTTTTTGAGACAGGGTCTCACCTAGTCACCAAGTTGTGATAAACTTGTGATCCTCCTGCTTCAGCCTTCTGGAGTGTTGAGATTAGAGGCATGTTCCATCATCCTCAGCTTGGTTCTGTAAATTTTTACAGCTGTGTCCTTTTCTTTTACTAAGAGATATTACTTTGCATTTAAAAGAGAATAAAACACCCCGTTACACAAAACCCAGAATTTTTTGTGCAGAGAACTTCTATTGCGATAAAATATACTCGACATAAGTTACGGTTCTGACTTCGGGTGTATGGTGATGTACACGGGTTACGGTATTGGTAAGTACCACTCGTGAGTGTACTCAACCGAGTGGCATGGAGTACGTTCACACTGTCACGGCCCCGCTGCCACCATCCGGCCAGCGCTGTCATCCTCTCAACCCGAAATGCTGTGCCCACTGAACAGGAACTCCCCACCTTCCCCTCCCCAGGAACCCATATTCGATTTCCCATCTCCACCAATGCGCCCACTCTGAGTCCCTCCGGTGAGGAGAGTCACAGTTTCCCTTTGGGGTCTAGCTCCTCATTGCCCTGGGCGCTGGCTGGATGTCCTCTGGTTAGCGCTGTTGCCCCGCAGGGTCCATGCCGCAGATCTCCCAGCCTCCTGGGAAGGAAACCTGAGGATGGGGTCCCCGTCCCCACCCGGCCCCTCCAGGATTCCTCAGGCAGAGGAGGTGTCTCACAGGGAAAGCCCACTCCTGCCTCTCATTTACCTACAGTGTTGTACTCCTCAGCCTCTCCAGGCCTCAGTTTTCTCAACTGTAAAATGGGGATAATATTAATCATGGTATCACAGACAGCTAAGTTAAACAGAAATAGTACATGCCGGCAGGCAAGGCCAGGCCCTGGAGGAAGTCAGTGCAGAGGATGAGAACATTTACAACTGTGAGTGGAAGCACATCTGTTGAAGGCCAGGCCTCAGAATAAAGACAGGCTGACCAGCCTACACCTCCAAGGGATAAGTGGTGTCACCTGGTCCAGTACAGTCCAGACAGACATCAGCCACCCCAGTGGGTGACCAAGACCTCCTGATCCACTCTTTCCTAAACGTCTTTGTTCTTACCATGTACACTTTCGACCTGACCCGCTTCCCCATTGGATCAATGTTACCTAAGCAGCTAGGCTTAGGATCTTACTAGTTAATCATAGTTTCGGTTTGGGTTGTTTTTTTTCTTCTTTTTTTTTTTGAGACAGGGTCTCATTATGTAGTTGAGACTGACCTGTAACTCACTGTATGTAGACCAGGCTGGTCTCAAACTCACAATGATCCTCCTGCCTCAGCCTCCCGAGGGCTGGGATTACAGGCATGCGCCACCACACCCAGCCTTTGGTCATAGTTTTGACCCACATCGTATCCACCTTGTGATTTTGCTCTACAAAACATCCTTTGAGAAGTGGCCTCCTTGGCAACCTACTTTTGGGTACCCCCCCATCTCTCAGGAGCTGTATCTCAATACATTTTCCTACTCATAACCTCCGTCGTTCCGTTCCTTACAACTCATTCTTTGATTTGGGGGAACACAAACTTGGCGTACCAGACATCTACCTGGCGTACCAGGCATCAATCTACTTCTGTCTTCGCAGGTTTGCCTATTCTGAAGCTTTCTGTTTTGTTTTTCTTGAAACGAGATCTCACTAAATTGCTCAGGCTGAACTTGAACTTGCAGTCCTCCTGCCTCAGCCTCCCAGAATGCTAGGATTACATGCAGGCACCACCATCCTCATGTTAGCATTTGGTTTTCATGATGCCCATCTTTTCATGTGCTTATAGGTCATTTGCGTGTCTCTTTTAGAGAAATTCCTATTCAAATCTTTTATTCTTTTAAAAAATTGGGTTATCTTCAATATCTTTTTTTTTTTTTTTTTTTTGATGGTGGTGGTGGGGATCGAACTCAGGTCCTTGCTCTTGCGAGACAGGCTGTGGCACTACAGAGCTAAATGCCCGGCCCTCTTCAGTATCTTTTGAGTCTTGTTTTCTTCTGTGGAGGGGACGTTACCTCTTTCCTAGAGTTACTGTGTGAAGATTAAGGACAGAACATCTGCCAGGACACAGCACCCTGCTCTGCATTTCTCACGAGCTCTGAAACGGTAGCAAACAAACCTTCATCTCGCCTTTCCGCTTTTCACCACCTGGCTTAGCGCTGCGCAGGAAGACAGGCTCAATTAACGTCTCTTAGTACCCAGGGCCAATCACACTACCCGATATTCAAACTTGAATCCAATGTGCTTTGACGTCTTTCGCCGACTCTTTTCTTCTGGAACAATTTTCTTAATTTGACTCCCCTTTGCCAGCTGCTTCCTCTCCTGACGTTCACCTCGCAGCAGCATTGAAGACGTGCAGGACCAGACAGCGCCTGCCACGGTTCCGAGGTGAATACATAAATCCCTCAAGGGGCCGAGCCCGGCAGCCTGGCGGTATAAACGTCCCGTGTTGGAGAGCGCCGCAGATAGTAATTAAGCTACTTAAGACGACTTTTCAAAAGCCTCGATTGCGGCCTGATTTATTTGACCCGGGCCCC